TCCTCCTTCTCCTTGCCCTTTGCCGGCGAGGCGTCGAACGTTGGGATTGACGAGGATTCCTCCACCATGATGTAGTCTTGGGCTCGGGAGAGAAACTCTTGGTAAGTGGTCGGTTTGTTCTGACACAGGGACCATTTGAACAAGGTCTTCGGCCTCAGACCGTCTTGGGCGGTGATGAGCAGTGCGTCAGGGTGGCACCACTTCATGTTTTGGACCCAGTCGTTAAACCGAGTGATGTAATCCTTCAAGCTTTCATTCTCACCCTGAACGATGTTGGCAATGGATTCCTTGGGGGCAAGGTTGACCTGCGATCCGATGAAGTGTGATCGGAACGCCGACCTAAGCTACCCCCAGGTGGAGATGGAATGAGGGTAGAGAGAGCGATACCACCTCTGCGCTTTCGGCCCCAGTGTCAAGGAGAACATGCGGCAACGCAGGACGTCCGTCGCGCCGTGCAGGTCCATCCAAGAGGTATAGAGGCTGATGTGGGAGTCTGGATCCGAACTCCCATCGTAAAGACCAAGCTGCGGTACCTTTATCTTTGCCGGGAAGGCTTCTTGCAAGATGTCTGGGGAGAGAGGCGGAGCATGATCTACGACCCAGGGAGTTGGCCGTGCTTGGGGGCTAGGAGGCGGCACCTCCTAGACAGAGTGCCTTTCTTCCAGTTCGGCGATCCTGCGCTTAAGGGCCTTGACTTCGTCGGTGTCCCGGCCGATGGCTTTCCCTCGCTCAATGACCTCCCTGAGGTCGCGATTACCTTGGCTTTTGCCCCCCAAGCGTTAGTGAATGGGCTGGTGGAGGATTTGCATGCTTTGATCTGGTTGGCTTTCGCCGGTCTGCTCGGTGGGCATCGGGTTGTTCTCACGGCGATTCCGGGCTTCGTGGTTGGGAGACTGTGTCGTGGTCTTGGATTTGGCCGGATTCACCCTTTGCCCCCGGCCCCTTTGTCGGGGGTCTGGAGCATTGTGTTTGCGGGGTTCTCCGTGGGAGCCACAGTGTTTTCCACGGCTGCCTGACTTGCGAGTACCCTCGAGAAGACCCCCTCGAGGGCTTTGAGGACGTCGCGGTGCTGCATGACCGCAGCGAAGGTCGGAACTGGAGGAGCAGGGGCTTGTGTTCCCTGCTGAGCGCGGCGGAAGGTTTCTCCGCCGTTGCGCCGGCGAGACTGGGCGCCGGACTGCTGGGTTGACTGGTCATGACCGGATGAAGTCATTTCAAGTGATTTATGGAAGTGAAAAGTGGTAAAAAGATGAATTTTATGTGAGGTCCCACAAGGTCGAACAATTGACACCAAGTAACTTATGGTGCCCTACTTTTAGCGCCAAACTGTTGACGGGCGTTTCCAGTCAACGGTTAAAGAAACAGGTAATAGAAATATAGGATAAGAAGATGACAAAAAGATACGGTTTAATTACGATTTAATTGACCCGCGGGGATGTCAGGGTCAATTAAATCCGGAATTCAGCTCGGCACTTGCACTCGATCAGGTCTTCGGTTTGGCTTTGGGAGTCGGTTCGNAAACTCGCTGCCAAATTCGGAATCGAATTCCCTGGGCACAGCCACGATTTTGGTGAGCGAGTGTTGGTGTAGCTGCGGTTGAAGATGGGCCTGGGGACATAATTGGGATTTATTTTATCAATAATTTTCTCATTTGTTTTTTCTGCAATGCTTCTGAATCTCTCATAATGGTAGGTTAGTAGCTGTCACGTGAAAAGTGAGAAGTAAATGTGACTTGTATACCTCTATGCTTTTCCAACTTCTATAATATATATTTATATTTTGTTTTGTATTAACGAATTTAATAATATTTTAAGATTTTTATATTGTATTTTTTTTATTCGTTTTATATTGTATTTTCTTAGTTGAACTGATACAGAACCTTTTTGATTATTTATAATGTTTTGTATGTGTAATTTAATACTTAAAATACTATAAAATATTTAAAAATATTAATAAATTAAATACTGGTTCAACCACTGGTCGGACTAGTGAACCATTGAACTAGTAGCTTGACCGGTTCGATGACCAGTTCGGTTTTCAGAACATTGCTTATAACATACAACTATTCTGTAGTTAAATTTATTTAATTGATAAATAATTTCATTTTTTCAAAATTAATAGACAATATAATTTTTATTTATAAAAATAAATATAATTGTTTATTTATTTTATATATATATAATATATATGTCTAATCGAAGCTAATCAAAGTATGATTAATTTGATATATTATGTATGACAAAATTTATAATAATAAATACAAAAGTTAACTTTTATATATACTTACAATTAACTTAGTCATGTGTTTTATAATTTAAAAAGAAAAAGATTGAGGAGAAAGATAGAGGGAAAAAAATCATACATTATAAAAAACACAATAGGAAACTATTGTTAAAGCACAATTTATGTTCATCAAAGGGTCATAAATTTCTAATACATTAATTATGAATACTTTCAAGTCTAATTAGTTTTGAATTGAAAGTACATTAAAATTTATTTGACGGGTAATGAAATTTAGCCACATATAGGATCTCGAAGCGTTAGACTCAACATACTCAAGAATTATATAGAAGGTATATAGGGAGATTTAGTTAGGTATAATATTTCAATTTAAACATAAAATATCTACTAAAAAATATGATTATAACTAAATCGTTAGTTCGGTGAGTAAAAAATTATTTCATGTCTCTGTTGCAAGATGGTTTAATTGATTAGATTTCGTATTGTATTTTATAATAGATTTTACAAATTGCAATTTCTAATGATGAATCACACATTACTAAATTTGGATTGGTTGATTTTGACGAGTGAGGTTCATCGTTATGCAGCGTTGAGAAGTCGCTGCAAAGAAAAACAATACGTATTAAAAAGTGATTGGATAAGAATAGTAGCATCGTTCAATATAAACAAAAGAGAAAAAATAATGAATAATTAAATTCATTAATTGATTTTGACTGCACATCTTTAATGCATAAGACCTTGCACTGCAAAACAGCAGGCAAACCATTTATCCCAATTCCCAAGACCAGCTTCAAATGAAAGAAAAATGAGTTTAAATTTGAACTAGCTTTCTCTCGGAGGTAGCTCTTTCGCCGGAGGAGTCGTCTCAGCCTCTTCTTAGAGCATCCACAATGCTTTGGGTCTCTTAACAAAAAAACATATATGTCATATAGGAAATAGACCTAGGCTATAAAAAAGTGTTTCACAATGCAATTGAAAGTGGACCTAGTCTAGCCTATGTGGCAATAAAAAAAAGAGACTAAGTCCACATTTTGGTCTATTTTAGAGCATCCATAATGCTTTGGGTCTCTTTTTGTATATGTGGCATATAATTGGACTTGAGTCTTAAATGATATGGACAAACCCAAATAAAAAAACTCAAAAACTTTGCAATGCAAAAATAAAAATACTAGGTCTAGTATACATGCCAACCAATAAAAATGCTCTAATATGTTTTATTCATTAAAAGAAAAATTAAATTAAGAGCAAATGATGAGTGTTTGGGTTTGTACTTGGGTCCAAAATAGACCCAAGTGTGGACTTGGTCTCTTTTTTTCATTGCCACATAAGCTAGACCATGTCCACTTTTAATTGCATTGAGAAGTATTTTTTTATAGACTAGGTCTATTTCCCATGTGACATGTGATTTTTTGTTAAGAGACCCAAAGCATTGTGGGTGCTCTTAGACCCAAGTACAAACCTAAACACTCATCATTTATTTCTAATTTAATCTTTCTTTTAATAAAAGAAACATATTAGAGCATTTTTATTGGTTGACATGTATGCTATACCTAGTATTTTATTTTTTGCATTAAATAACTTTTGAGTTTTTTTACTTGGGTTTGTTCATATCATTTAGAACTTAAGTTCATTTTTATGTCACATATGTAAAATTAGACCCAATAGATTGTGGGTGTTCTTAAGGATTATGTTTCTTTAAGTAGCGTTGAAAATTGATACTCCCTCCTATTCATAATATGTGTCGTTTTGAGAAGTTGCACATTAATTAAGAATAATTTTTTTTGCCAATAATAACCCTCATTAATGAAGATAGAGATGGATGTTTTAAAAAATAAATGAAGAGAATATGAAAAGACGTAGTGTATTTATTAACTAAATGAGGGTAATAATGGAAAGATATGTACAAAAGATTCAAAATATTTATTTTAGTTAATAGTTGATAAAATCAAAATAACATTTAAAAAGAATAGGAGGTACTATAAACTTTTTATGCCCTGTTTGGTTAGCGAGTCAAACTTAAAAAATAAAAATGAAGTTCACGAGTGTGTTCAGATACGGGCTGAAGGGGAAATTATGAAAAAGAGAAGCGCCATTTTTGGGCTCGAGTCTTTTCAGTTTTTTGTCGAATTAGATAAAGACAGCCCCACAAATATATGAAGACAGCTTGGAGGAGAGAGAGAAAGGTAGTGAGAGAAAGAAAGGGCAAAAGCGTTTTCATAGCACACCCTTCAAGGCCACCAACAAAAGTTGTGCTCTCGAGTTTTTAATAAAGCAACCACCAGAAATCTCCTCAACTGCCCGTCGCCGCCGCTCAACACCGCCGTAGCCTAGAGTAGAGAGAGAAAATGTGAAAACAAAAACGCCTCAAATGGAAGAAACTGAAGAAAAAAAAGCATACCAAATCTGTTCTACGAATTTTTCCCTTGCATGTCTGTATAGTGTGAATTAATTAATTAATACCCTTTTCATCCCTAAAGATAATTAGGTAGGTTAGCATAATGATTTTCCGAAATATAAGCACTACCACCTCATCATTGGTTTTCATATCTTAGGATACCAATCCTAAAATCATTTCCCTAAATTAGTTTTTTGCTCATTTACAAACACTCTATCTACTTAAAACCCTATCCCCTTCTCCCCTTTGCCGCTCTCAATTCTGCTCTCCACAGACTCGTCTCGTGCAGTTCTTCACTTGCTGATATCTACTCACAAACAGATAAAGAAGAGATTTTTGCAGGAAAACAGAAAAAGGGGTTTCGATGGACGCATGCGAGGCAACAAGGATAGTTATGTCGAGGGTTCAGAGTTTGGACCCGGAAAACGCTGCCAAAATCATGGGTTACATACTGATACAGGACGACGGCGACAAAGAGATGATAAGGTTAGCCCTCGGGCACGAAGCCCTTCTCCTGTCCCGTGTCGAACAGCTGAGGGCCCGTTTGGGTCTTCCGCCCGCAAAACCCTCGAGCCCTGTCGCGCCAAACGGGCCATTCCCCACGCGGGTTGCGATACCGAACGGCCCAAGGCCCGTCTCCTACGCCGCGGCGCTGAACGGCGAGGTGAACAGTAACCAACTGCCGTTTGTGGAAGATTCCGTGGTGGATCCGATTATGAGCCCAAGCGGGAGGAGCGATTCTCTGATTTTCCCTTACGGTGAGGACGCGCCCTCTCCACAACCCCAGCCGTTCCACAGGAGGAGTTGCTCCGTGAACGATGCTGTTTTCCTGTCTAATTTGGAGGAGGGCGGGGGTTTTGGGTGGAGGCCGTGCATGTATTTCGCGAGAGGGTTCTGCAAGAACGGCAGTTCCTGCAAGTTCTTGCACGGTGAGAATAATGGTGGTGAGGTGATGGAAGAGGGCTCTCCAAGTTCGGCTGCATCAGGGTTTGACGAGTTTGTGAGAATTAAGGCTATGCAGCAGCACAGGCTTGCAGCCATGCCTTCCAGGGGCCACCACCATTCTTTTCCTTACAGCAAGTCTGTGAACATTCTCAATGACAATCAGAGGTAAAAAAAATTATTTTGGGAGATAATTGGTAGTTTTTAACCTTTTTTTCTTTTTTTTTTTTTCGTCTGATAGCGATTTCCGTTTTCAGAAATTGCGTTTTCTGCGTTGAGCACTTCTCACGTAGAAGTGAAAATATTGCAACATAGTATTTGCGAATAGTTTAGTTTTGGGTTACTTGTATTTTCATTGTGGTCTAACTTGATTACAGTGAACAGGTCTGTTTTCATCTTGCTATTTTACGAATTGCACTCTTTTTGGCCGGTGTTAAAAGGGGTAATTTGTAAGTAATTTTGCAAAAATGCCACCTTTGGTTGTAAGAAACAGTCATTTTCAGTTGCAATATACAAAAGTGGCATTTTTGTAGCATTTTTGCAGTTTTCTCTATTTTGCATAGCAAATACAATCCTAAAGGTGGCATCTGTAATTAAATTGGGTAAATCTGTGTTTCTTTTTTGTTCACTATACTAAATTTTTGGGGTGGTTTCTGTAATCACCCCTTTTAGAATTGAATAATTTTGCACTGGAGAGTTTTGTGAAGTCTTCTGTTGGAATTAATCACATGTGTCATCTTATTTAGTACAAGGTAGATTTCAAATCTGCATAAATCAAGCCCAAGAAGGCTTTTATAATAGAGAGTGAGGGCTGTTTTATTAGGTGAATCAGAAGCTGTATCAATAGGTTTATAAATTGTTCAGCTGTTTACCTCAAAAGCTCCCATTGTTAGCTTGGTTTGATTGCTGAATTTAATAAATTTCCACCCATTTTAAATAGGTGTGGTCCTCGAAATGGTTTGTCACAAATGGGTTTAGGTGCCGGTTTTAGTTCGTGCTCACGGCAAATTTACTTGACCTTTCCAGCTGATAGTACGTTCAAAGAAGAAGATGTCTCAAGTTACTTTAGGTGAGTTCTTGTCGAGCATTATATTTTTTTTAATACCTAGTTGCTGAAAAATGCTCACTGATTGCTGATTTATTGTTTCTTTGTTTTCAAGTATGTTTGGGCCGGTTCAAGATGTTAGGATTCCATATCAACCTAAGCGAATGTTTGGCTTTGTAACCTTTGTCTACCCAGAGACGGTAAAACTCATTCTTGCTAAAGGAAACCCGCATTATGTGTGTGATTCTCGCGTGCTCGTGAAACCTTACAAGGAGAAAGGGAAAATACCAGAAAAGTACTTTTTTTTTTTCCCCTCTAATATTATTCTCTAGTTATCTTTGTCATATGAATATTGCAGAGACTGACTACTACCTCTTGAGGTTTAGCTTAATCACATAAAGTCCATTTTTTAAGATTACAAATGCCCAAACCAGCGCCCCTTTGAGGGTTGTATTTAACTGTAAACTACTCTTTTAATTTGGGTGTATGTGCATATTGTTTAACCTAAACTTCAGGGCTAGTTTTTTAAATTAACTCCTTTTCATACTTTCTCATGATTTCGATTAGTTAATTGAATCCTTTTTATAGGAAACAATTCCAGCAACAATATGACCACTTGGAGAGGGGAGAATATTCAACTAGTTTAAGCCCTTCAGGAATTGATTCTAGAGAGCTCTTTGATGTCCCTATTGGTGATCATATATTGCTCGTTATTTCTTTCTTTCTTTCCTTTTTTTTTTTTTTTTTTTTGAATGACAACCTTAGGATGTTTATTTCCCTTTGGTTCCATTTCATTTTTCAC